AGAGTAGAGCGGAGGGGGTGCCGCCTTTACCCCTAGAGTCTTCTCCTATACATTTCTATCCTCGACTCACAAATCAGCTAAGACACCACAGGAGTCTCTTTATTCACAGCTGCCCTACTCGCAGCCATAGACGGAGGCAAAAAAAACCCTCAACACAGAACATGACATGTCCTTTTATACCTCAGATGGCTATGTGTTTGTATGTGCATCCTGTTTTCCAATTATTTTGGCTTCGTCGTTCTTCTCGTGCCTAACTATTAACCAACTATGTTTCTCCTGGCGCACATCCAGGTCACTGTTTTCTTACTGGCAATGCGCCTTGACATAATGTTTATTCCTATTTCCCAATCTCCTATTTTCCAGATGTTTTCCTAAACAGTCAAAGTGTCTTGACCCACTCTGTTTGCCCCAAACCATATCCTGGCTCTCACGCTACTGTGAGCGGCCGACAGGGTGATGTCAGGTCATACATTTGTTATTCTCCTACACTGGCTCTTGCACTCCTGTTGGTGTCCAACCAGGTGATATGAGGTCATACACCTCGGGCCTTATTATTCTCCTACAATACGGATGCATGATGCATCAGGCAGAGAAAAGATGGAATCGTGTCGCATCTCACCATAATTGCGCAGTATGTAACTTCTGATGCTAGGGGTCTCTCAGTGTCAATCATTCAGGAGGTTTTTACCAAGAACCAAATGATCTGCAGAGCTCTTCTCTCAAGAACAAACAAACCAGGTGATGAAATCCAGTAAAAGCAGTTGTTGAATGAATGGAAGTTTATGCATTTGTTGTTATTATTTGCCGATGTTAGATTATCTGTAGTTACTTATTACAGTCCCTAGTAGCTGGAAGGACAGCGGTAGAAGAAGTTTGTCTGATAAGAATGGTACAAGTCTTGAGCTGTTTTATTAGAAAACAATGATAAAAAGACCAAAAACAAAGATAGGAGGACTTCTCCATAAGAAAAGTACCGACAAGAATATTGTCAGACAGAACAGCAGGGTCAACTTACTTGTACTTACATTTATTTACATATGCATTATACCCCTCATTTATTCTTTTTTTCTTTATTTTCTTCTTTTCTATGAAAGGATGTGGGTCTCCATCTGAAATGTTTAAGAAGCTTACTTTGTGTATAAGATGGTCTTAAGAATGTTGGAAATGCCAAATCATATAATCATTCCTATCGTTTGTATTTTACTCATTTATATTTTATTCATTCATTTTATAATCATTTAATCTTGATCATTTAATCATATACTTATCTAATCTGTCCATCATTATCATTGTTATCATTACTGTCATTTACCAATGTCATTCATTCATTTATTATTCAAGTATGTTATCTGCTTAGTAAGATAAGTTTCCTTTTTGTGGTTATAACTGGCTATGTTTGGACATACATGAGATGGCTGACAAATGTGACTCTGAGGTGGCTTGAAGTGGCTGACAAGAACAACTGCTGTCGCTGTGATCTCAATAAGGAATGTGAACTCTAAGTTAAATCTTAGTTCAACCAATCAGGCAAGAGTTGACTGGTTTCCTGTGTGCTGGGGACCTAAATGCAGGTTTGTCCTGTGTACATGTGAGTACATAAGGCAATATGCAGTCACATGTAATATGCAGTCTCTCTTGGAGACTCACACCACAGGGCGCTTGGACGGTTAAACTTTTGCAACCTTTTCAAATTTTATTATTTGTGACGGTGAATAAGTATCGCCAGGGCATGCCTTTGGGAGTCTCAGCGATGTCCACACAGGCCAGTGGGTAGAATCACGTAAGAGGGCCCTCCTCCGCCCCTCTACCCTTCCTGCGTCCACACGCCTCAGTATCATACATTGCTTCAAGTCAGGGACGAAGCCAGTGAGCTTGGGTGGCCACGTAGGGGCCCATGGTAGCAACCGGACAAGGACAGGGAAACTAGCCGTATCTTTCCCCTGAGGGCTACGGGCTCGCTATCATAGACCAACGATCTGTGAGTGCTACAGGCGGCAGATTAATGAACGTGCCATCGCCGGCGGGAAAGTCCCGGCTATGACACTTCTGAGGGCAGCTTGCTTCAAAAAGCCTGCCTCTTGCTTCACAGTTGCACGTTAAAAATCATTGAGGATGGGCTGCGAGCCAAGCTGGCAGACAGCCACAACACTGATGCACGCACAAACGGGATAAGACACCATTATCAGACAACCAAATGAAATGGACCATTACCTTGATAAAATGACGTATTTTTGCAAATCCATGAATCAATGAATGGTTCATCATTTCTATGTAGAATAAGCAATTGTAATTTTTGTGGCATTTTCCTTAAAGGGTACTCCAGCAATTTAGTATTGTACTTCCATGAAGTGGAAGATTCACGAGTAATGGTAAAAATTGTTTGAGTTCACAGCAGCAGAATCTATATTATTGGTCAAGCTCCAGAAACGCTCTCACTCGAGCCAACAATTCCCATAGTGTCTTTATTTAAGCCTGATGACGTCAAAAAGGGTTTAATAAAGATGCCAAAATTCTTTTTAGAAAACCCCTCCAGATTCACACAACACACCGTCTGAGTAGTAAAAACCATGACAAGTAAACTGAATTTTATGTATAAAATTGTTGGAGTACCCCCTTTTAATGGCTGTTTGTTCTCTTGATATTTTCAGGATTATGTCATGCAAATATTTCTTTTTGTTGCTGTGTATTTGATTTTGTTTTTACTCTGCCGCCATCTGTTGCCCACTGAGAGCATCCTGACGTCTTCGATTGGTGCATGGTATGTATGGTGTAGCCATGGGTCTCTGCCAACAGGAAGCCTGCTACGAAGTAAAGTGAAAACCGCCAAAAGCTTCACTGGTATCTGCCTACCCACCATGACGGACATCTGCACAGAAAGATTTCACAGCTGCAGAGCAATATCATGAAAGATCCAATCCACCATGCTCGCAGACTGTTTCATTTCCATCAAGGAGCATCCACGCCAAGACGACCAGATTCAAGACCAGGTTCTACAAACAAGATGTCAGCTGCCCCTTTCCTCCATGATGACCCGTAAAGCAGCTGCCCAGCAGCTTCTGGACACATTGAGACACTTTTGTCGCCACTGATTGATTTTATTGACTATTCATTGATTTTTTTTTCTGCATGTTAACAATGTGAACACAGATGATGTATTTTTAAATTTTTATTTTTCTTTGGATTCTATTTTGTTGTCCTTTGCACAAGTCTATCTCGATTCTTGATCTCTTCTCCAGTGGCCACCCTAGAAGTGACACCACTGATGCCGAACTTGTCCAGGTCCTGGCTGCTGGAAGTGGTGGAGGAGCGCTGTGGCGCAGTCATAGATAGCTGTCTTATGTATAGTTGAACAAATGCACAAGACCAGTGTCTATCAGAGAGCAAGCCCTTTGCATGGGAGACCAAGTGGACTCCCCTCTGCTGCCTGCAAACAGGCGGACAAAGCATTGCGTTTAGAATTGAACCTTAGTCTTTTGACGGCAGGATATGTTGTACAGAGGTACATCTCGCCAGATGCCCAGAGCTGACTAAAACTCTCATACATTCAGTATTGATGTCAGTGAATGGAAGTGTATGTGGATACTTGCGCAGATATGGAAAAGTATAATGGTGTCATAATTATAGAGTTTATTTCGGTCCCACGCTACTTCATGTCACCAAATGCCATCTTTGTTATTGTTTCGATTGAGAGACTCCTAGCAACAGAAGTTGGATACAGTACATTTAAAACATGTCAGACGTCTTCTCCAGTACAGCATGTTGAATTAAAGCACTGTGTAGTGGAGAATAAATGTGTCTACAGTTTTAATTTTACAACATTAATAGCATGACATTGCTTGGCGTCATTGGTAGATAGGAGTGTGCTTGTTTGTGCAGGGAGATGCTTGAGTTGACATGAACTAAGTACGTGTCATTGGACATGTCATGACAGGTGGACTTAAGTGTGGCCTAGGGGAGGTTAACTCCTGTTTCTCTTGAGGGATGATTTCTGATATTGGATGTGAAAAGCCTTATGATTGTTTACTGGCTCACGGTGACTCTTCAGCCCCTTTTACACTGGTCAAAGAACCTGCTTACATTGGGCTTTTGTTGGAAATGGAAAACTTAACAATCGGCATTCACAACCGGATCAAATGACACTGCAGTAGACTAGGCTGTTTACTGGCTCTGGCTCCGCTCGGCATTGATAGAAACGCAACACCTTTCAGAGCACAAACACTTTAAACACACCTGTCACCTGCCCAGCACAGTGCTGTTGAGCTAGAAGCACCACTGCTACACTGTGACTGGGGATGAAAGAGCGAGCCCAGCCCCAAAATAAGTTTCAGAAACACACAATCATCGATCAAAGCATCTCACACCAAGGCTAAGACACTTACAGGAGCACCAACGGATGTATTTTACACAGCGGCTAGTGGCTTACTCTTTCACCCGTGTGTGTGTGTGTGTGTGTGTATATGTGTGCTCTATAAGTGCATGTGATGACATTGCTCCCTGCAGTTCGAACTGAAAGGCAAACTGGACTGGCAGTGTAAAAGGAGTTAATCACCATTTTTTAACAGGTTCCCCTGTGTATAAGAAACTCGCCTACATCTGCTAATTTTGGTGTAAAAAAAGTGTTGGCGTTCAGGTGGGGGATTGTTGCAAAATGGCTGCAATCTTTTGTTACAGTATGCAAGTTGAGATCAAACTGGCAAACTAAAGTAAGAATCTAGACTACCTGCCTTCCATCAGCTTCAGTTCCACCACAGTATATTCTAAATATTGGCTATACTGTTGGGGGTTTCCTGATGTAGGCAGTAGCATCAATGAACACACCTCTGCTCACTTGTAGTCAGGACTGGAACAAGATTTGTGGATAGATACTATCCACAAATCTTGGCTCGTGTAAACAAATATCCCTTGTCTATTCTATTTCTGCATTGCTGATGTACCTCTCTCTTCTTGTAGGTCTGTGTCACAAAATTTAACAGGGTGTCTGATTTCAAGAAACATGTGCACTCACAGGCACATCGACAGGTGGGCAATAATCCTAATTTACACTTGTACTATTCTGAGTATTGTCAGGAATTGGCAAAAACAATATCCCCTCTGAACCATTCATCAACCATAACAAAAACAAGGGTTTGGGAAATATAGTAGTATTCCTTTTGGCTATTGTAAACCCTTCAATTGGTGATATGCATATTAGATATGGCATATGCACTGCATGTCTTTGGACCATGTGGATACATGTAGAACACACTTTCTACATAAAAATGAGCCTGGGAAGAGAATCAACCCAGGGCCATTTTTTGTAAGATAGTAGTGATAACCACCTGATTGCAAGTTTCTCAAAAGTGCATTAATGACTACTTGAAAGCATTTATGTGTCTCATGGACAGCATTAAAAGTAAGCTGGGAAACTGTGCTGAGTAAACCTAAAAGCCTTGGACCATTTAAAGTGATAAAGACCAGCCCTGTGGTTGACTCTGCACTTTTCCAGTAAACTAATCCTGTATCATGACAGTTCCTATATTCCTTTTGCTACATTTGCCATGGCATTAATACACCGCTTCTGCATGTTTCCCTTGTTCTTTACTAACAGAAAATGGGAGAAGTCTTCCAGAAAGGTAATGGGTATTTTTTTACCAATACCTTTTTGTGTACATCTAATTTTGTGTTTCCTCCACAAAGAAATATGTCAACCAGAGTTTATGTCCAGGTCATTAATCATATTTTTTTTCCTGTTTGCCACTTTTTAGATAAGTTCAGGAATCCTGGTAAGCTGCGTTTTCTCCTTCTTTTTAGTGTTAAAGATACTTGAAAACACTGTTCCTGTTAAATTTCTATGTTACCAAAATGTATTGTGTGTCTCCTTGAAGCCTGTTGTGGAAACTGAAAATAAGTTCTTGTCTGGTGCAAATGAGAGTTGGTAGTCAAATACCACATGACCCAATATTCAAATTATCATATCAGCCATTATACCCATCATATCAACCTGCTATTTATAAATGAGCTGACCAGACTTCATTGCAAAATCTGTGCCTCTCAAACTCAAGAAATTCAAAACATGAATGGATAGTCAATACACTGGGAGGAAAGAAATACAAGGCAAAATAGTTTTATGCTGCTTCATGGTACTTGAGACAATTAAGTACTATTCACGTTGTAGACTGCAGCTATCATTGATTAAAGTCCATGAGAACTATCTGTAATATATTGTAAGCTGAATGGATCCAGCCTCTCTGAATGATAGAAGCAAAATTAACTATACAACATTTATTCTGTTAACAGAGTTAAACTACATGGTGCAAAATCAGAATAAAATCAGAAGTCTCTCCATACCAGGAGTTGCTTGGCATCCCAGAGAATAAGTCCCATTTATTGTGTACTCTCCTGATTACCCTAGACTGTTTTATATCCTCTGTCAGTTTCTTTTGAGCTTCCCATTAATTTTGTGGATGTATATTACATATACATATATATAGCCTACGTTACATCTGGCTAAACGTAAATAACCTTATTTATGTGCAGATCAGTAAGGTCCCACAACCCTCACTTGGAAGAGTGATGGGTTCACAACGCAGCAGAATAAACAGACAACGGTGCAGAGACTGAGTGCTGTTCAATTCACTCAGGTTTACTTGCACCAATACAGTACCAGTATCTCAAGTACAAGTCACTAACAGAAGTGTATACCAGATATATTTGTACCCCGGTTCTGGACAGTGGCAGATCCTTTCAGAACAATCCCTCAATACAGATGTCTTTGGAGGATCCTATTTTAAGACGATATTCATCCTGTTCCGCACAAACAATTCTTCCTTAAAAAATCTGGGAGGTCACCATGACCTGGCAGTTAGTTTTGTTTTTATAGCAGATACCACCTGTGAGATTACACCAATATCATTCCCAACATTAGGAAATGGCAGTTTATTACTTCACACCAAGTTTTTTCAGTCTGCAAACTTTTGCCTCCTCCCAGTTCCCAGGCACTGATACATTTTCATTTGGTGAGTCATGTTGTGACGCCAAAAATTGTGGTATCTTGAGGTGCTGATGTGAAGAAGTGATCACCGCTGACACGTTTTTACTTGCAATCAAAAATAAGTTTATTTACAAGAAAGAAACAGTGTCAAAAAATGCAGAATCCTGGAGCATCTCTGCCAATGTGAGATCTCTCCTCTACCATCTCACAAACCCCTCTATTTATCTGTCTTATCCCACCTTTGGAATGTACACTTCTTCCTATAAGAAGAAGCCTTCACCCAAATGGTAGATAAGATCTAGTTTATGGCCTCTGGTCCCTGGCCTTGACCTTTTAGGCTATAAAGACCCCAACATGTCTGAATTTCCTTTGGGATTTACCCCTCTTTCAATAGGGGAGCCTTCACCCAGAGATTAACCACATCTGGACTGGGACTCTTAGTCTTTGACCTTGTTGGTTTTATAATACCCTTGGATATAACCCTGGAGTGTCAACCAGAGATGATTGTCTATTTGGCATCAATAGATGACATTGGATCAATGAAGCGTTAGTTAACGCCAGGTCTGAACAGGGCCAATGGTCCTGTAACATCAGGGCTGACGTGTGTTTATGATGTGTTAGTGATAACGTGTCTCAGTTGGGTCTTTACTTCCTTTAACCCTCTTACTAGTGCACATTCACTAACCGTTAAGGAGTGAACCGGCTGTGATGTCACTATCAGAGTGCTTCACAATCAGTGGAAATTAACACAGGATGTTCCTGCAGCGATATGCATATCACGCGGGGAGGTGTATAGCGTTACCATTAGACAGGATGCTGTGGTAAAGTGAGGGTCCTGTCCTGTCCTGTCCTGAGTAGTTCAGATGTAATATTTTTTTCTTTCACTGTTGCTTTTTTCTCCATAGGCTTCATTCCCTCCATTATTGTTATGGACCCACTTGCCAAACCTGAAATGAAACAACCCATCATAGGTTAGTAATTTTGTGTTTTTAAACACACTTGATATGGGGTACAGATTTACTATGAATAAAAAAAAGGTTTATGGTCAAAGTTCATTTTTGACCTTAGGAACAGACCTCAACTCAAGGTCTGTTTATAAGCTTTTCCAGCCCTGGGAAGCTATGGTCTTCAGGACTGTGATATATTTGCTAAGTCAAGAGATGACATGTGATGACTCATTCTGTTTGAAGTAGTCATACTATTTTAAACTTACTTTCTTCCAGGCTTGTCTCTGCTGACTCTGTGCTTCAGTCCAGAGACACAGACCTTTTTTTACTTGTGCCACGTCTGCGAGGAAAAGCGTCCACCAGACAAGATTTTACACCACCTCTCCACTGGTGACCATTGCAGCAACTACTTTGTAAGCACTGAAGGTCATAGAAATTAACCATTGATCTGAATTCGCAAGCAGAGTTTCATTTGGATTTTGTATTTTAGAACTACACAGACCCCAATGTACTGAGTTTCTCCTGGATGCCCAGCATGGACATGAGAGCCATTCTGAGGCCTCAGCTCACGAAGGAAGTCAAAGAAAGAGGATCTGGAACATTACAGGTTTGTACCCGCAGGCCTGGAATCAGAAATGTAAACGTATAATAAAAAGTTAAGGCACTTATATTGAACATTTTTATATTGTGATCACATGACTTTTTGTATGTCAAAGAAATCACTCAAAGTTTAAACGTGTGGTGGAAATAAAAGCATCAGAGGCAATGTTTTCAGAGGAATAAAGGTCTTTATTAGGATCACAAAGGCCTGTGCTGTGCTAGTCTGCAGAGTAACCGGAAAATTACATAGTAAAAAAGTAAAATTAACGCACAGTTTCCCCTCAAATCTTTGGAGGATCATAGTGTTTTTAAGCAACTTTACTGTTTTACAGCAGGCAGCTTTGCTCACTCTTCACTATTTGTTCAGCACTAAAAGGCAGACGGATTAAGTAAGACGAAATAAGCAGATAAAAAAAGCTAGATATTTCCCTCGAGAGTTTGTGGAGACTCAAAACGGCACTAAAAGGAGATTAATATTTCACTTGCACTTGTTGTGGCGAGAAGTGGTGGATCAAAAAAGGAATCAGACAGTCGAGACACAGGTATCAAGGCGGGGAGTCTCTCTTTATTCAATGCGGCCCACTTGCAGACATAGACGGAGACAACAACCACCAACACAGATCGTGACATGTCCTTTTATACCTCAAGTGGCTATGTGTGTGTATGTGCATCCGGTTTTTCCCAATCCTTTTGACTACGTGGTATTACTCTTGCCTAACTGTTGACCAACTCCTGCACTCCGTTATTTCTGGCATACACCCAGGTCATGGTGTACTTTTCTGGCAGAACACCATGACACCCTCCCAGGTCACCGTTCTCGTATTGGCAGTATGCCTTGGCGTTATATCTATTCCTACTTACCCAATCTCCTATTTCCAGATGTTTCCCACCAAGCCTAAGTATCTTAACCTGCTCAGTTGACTTCCTGACCATATCTTTTTGTTATTGTTCCCACACTGGCTCTTGAACTCCTATTGGCGTCCAACCGGTTGATATCAGATCATACATCTTTGGCCTTATAATTCTCCTACACACAGACTCCAAATGAATGCTAATGTTGCTCTGTAACTGCTTGATGTGTAAATGGGCGAGTGCTATGTTCACCTATATTGACATATAAGGTGATAACATGTCAATGTCACTTGTCATGTCCTCATTAGATGATGTCTTCCTATACAGCCAAACCAGGGTGTGTGTGACTAAACAGAAATCCATTATATGGTCATACTTTTCCTCATTGTAAAGGACACAAGGCAACTCCACAGTTTAACTCTGCCTCCACTTTCTCTCGTATCATTTTTACCATTTTCACCACATTTTCTCTTTTGCAGATGTTGGATTTACCTGAAAGCCTGATAAAAAAGCTTGAAGCAAGTACTTACTCTGAAGGTGTGTGATTCTCAGATTCCCCTATGAAATGTTTGAGAGTAAAATTAAATTGTATATTAATGAAAATGATCTGACCCTTCTCCTCAGTGATGCGCGCTCTAAATGAAAATGATAAGTTTCTCAAGCTGTTCGAAGGTATGTGCACTTTTTTAACCAGGACTCTTACTTATGCTGAAGTGTTAATCAGGACTCAGGGAGTTCAGTATAGAGTTCATTTGACCCCAGTCAAACGGTGCTGTTACAAATGATCTAAACAGTTGTTTGAATCATGACTTTTAATCACCACTATCGTTTATTCTCTCCATGTAGCCACCAATCCAAACAGGATGATGATCCAGACATACCAAAGAGACGGAAACAGAAAACATCCACTTCTTGGTCAGTAAATGTACCAAACATAACACCTACATACCTGATAAAATGCCATTTGTATTAATATTACAGCACTATTGAACTGGAAGGGCATGACGGACCAGAGGACATAGATCTAATTAATCAATCTACAAATTAAGCGAATTAATCAACTCATTCATATAAGGCCATCCACAACCTCGCCCCCCATATCTCTCCGACCTCCTCCATGTTCCCACTCCCTCCCGCTCCCTCAGATCCTCTTCCCGTCTCACCACCATGGGGAGTAGAGCATTCAGCCTCTCTGCTCCCCGTCTCTGGAATCTACTACCACCCCAACTCAGAAATATCGATTCATCCCCCCATTTCAAATCACAACTCAAAACACATCTGTTTAAAACTGCCTTTTCCATCTGATGCCAATTGCTCTGTCACTTTTGTATTGTTTTTATTTTTATATTTCATTTTTTTTGTTGTTTCTTCTTAATGTGTTTTTAATCTCAATTTGTGTAACTCTGTACGGTGTCCTTGAGTGCCAAGAAAGGTGCCTTTAAATAAAATGTATTATTATTATTATTATTATTATTATTATTATTATTATTATTATTATTAATTAATCAACTCATTCATGTAGAGGAATGTTTTCCTACGGAATAACTTACCTTGCCACTTCTCTGTAGAAATAATTACACAATATGGCCACTCTGTTGTCCTTCCTCAGATTTCTCTTTGAACTAAAATGTCTTTCCCTTTTCTACCTTCTCTTGTCATGGTCTTCTAGGCATGCAGCACCTTGTTGAATGCATCTGTGACGGACCGCCTGAGAAGAGATACTACCTCTGCACTCTCTGCAACATAACTTTGGCCACCCACATGATCATCAAGCATGTCCTGAGCTTTGACCACATCTTTTGTTACTTTGTAAGATATTCATAAAATGAATCACAATCTTGAAAAGAAGTGTAATCAGGCAACATCATTCACGTGTGGTGGTAGGCCATGATTGTGCAGTACCTTGAAAAAAATAGGACATAAAATGAAAAGATTTTCAAATTGGCACAGTTTGGAAAAAGATGATGAGAATGTGTTTTGAGGAGAGATTATAAAGAAGACATTGCCTTTACACGCCTTAGATGTTCAGTTAGGGAGTTAAGGGCCAGTTCATGGTCTTTCAGAACTAGTTCTCGCGACGTGCTGTCCAACCAAATGTATTTATAGTTGGGAGGGAAGTTAAATTCTCAGCTGCTTTTTCACCTCTGCACAGCTGATCAATCATGGCGTGAAGCGGGTGTGAATGTCGAATCGTCGGTTTCAGAAAGTTACAGGAATCTTTGGACAGAGTCACTCCCCAATCGTGTGTGTGTGTTTTCGACAAGCAGCCAACAAGGCAGTACAGTACAAAGTCCGTCTTAGAGTTCACAGATGTACGTAGGAGCCTGAGCATACAAAGCTTTAAAATCAAGCATCTTAAGGTCAAATCAAAATCAACAGGAGGTGAGTGAATGGTAGCAAGAGTTGGAGTAATGCAATAGGAGATCAAGGCATGAATTACTTGGCCAACAAGACGAAAGACCAAGTTATCTGCAAATGAAACACGACTGTATCATTTGGCTATGTGGGTATCCAGTGAAGTATCCAAAATTGCCCCAAGATTTTGGCCTTAATATTTTTTTTTTTATAGGGAATAGAGACTGGATGTGAGACAATAGTCTGAGGACAGGGACAAGAAAGAGAATAATCTCACAGTCATTCAACTGGAGGAAATGATTGGACATGTAGCACTTAATGTTGAGTGGTAGAGATGGTACAGGGAATGTCCTGCAGGTTATCAGATGTTGTAAACACACTGAACACTGAAGATTAAAAATATGTTGCGCAACATACTTTCACACTGAAGCCAGATGAAAATGGCTCAACGATGACGAAATCCTTTCCTATTGGTTACTTAACGTAAGCAGCAAATTAGTTCAAACATGTAACAAGACCCCAGACATACACTCTGTGTGAAACAGGATGCTTAAGAAGAGAAAAATGTCTCCTTTATTAGGCTCTTAGCATCTCTCCATGTGGCTGACCTCTTACACACTAGCTCCAGTATTTTCAGCACACACACCTGACTTCAGACAAGAGTAACGTGAAGTAGGACAAAAACATATGGTTTTCCTAAAATTAATAAATGACTATCACAGAAAATCGCACAGGAATGTCATTCCCTCTTATCATATTTAGTCCATATAATGTGATATGATGGGATATGATTATCTAACATACTGTTGATACAGTTTACTTGTTTTTGTTTTGGTCTCAGGTCAGTTTCTGGTATGTCTGACTAATGAATCTCCAACAGCTGCTGTCAGTACTGTTTGTCTTCCTGTAGGGTGTCTGTAATTCACACCTGTTTTTTTTTTTTTTTTAATCTTTGCAGAAAGCGTGGCACCCCTCTACTTTGCTGTCGAAAGAAAGCTACAAGGATTACACAGATTCCTTCACCTCCATGATGCGAGATTTTGCAAAGCAGACGGAAGAAATTCATGCAACTGCAAACACTGACATGAAGGTAATATAGTTAACAAAATCCTTTACTGTGTGTATAACGGGTGCACTTGTTAAGTTTGCGTTAATGTGGAGCTGTATGGCTTTCTGTTGCAGGAAGTGAACCTGAAGCCTGCTGAATTCCCATCGGTGAATTTCGCCTCTTTTGCAGAAGGTGGATAGCGTCGTGGATTTTCTGTTCAAAACACTGGATACAGACACAGAAATAAAAACACAGACACTGATTGATCCAAAGATTATTATTGATCAGTAAGGGGACATGACTGGCACCATGGTACACCACCTTGTACCAGCCATACTTAGTCAAGCTAACCTTTTTATAGAACAAAGAATAAGGGACAAAGAAATGGACACAGTTTGGTCAATTACACATCAGGTTATGATAACAACCAATGGATGAGGAGAACAGTGGGCTTCTTCAACGATTAACAAGAGCACAGTCATTTCTATTAACACAATCAATATAAGACAAACACATGGCATGAATGAGTGATCAACTAATGAATTTACTTCCATAAACCCACCATTTAGTCATCAATTCTTCTTCTTCTGTCTGCTATTCTGTGTATTTACTGAACCATCAGTGGGACCAAGCACGATGATTTACTAACGGAGCCTTTGTTGACTTTTAGCTTGGAAGAAGCTGGAATGCATCATGAAGGAAAACAAAGGGAGCAGCTTGATCACAAGCATCAAACCAGGGAACAAGCTGGGTGAGTATCATTTCAGTGTGAGTTAGTTTGTCCAGTGGACCAGCTCACCTGTTTGAGGCTGTTTGTCTTAAACCTTGTCTGCACCGGTCGTAATAACATGAGGAATCTGCTGTGAAAAACATCTATTAGCCTTGTCTAAGCATAACTGTTCTTTCTAATGCAGGATATTTCCCCTGGTCTGATCATTGTATTAATGACAGAAGATTTATAGCAGTGGTTCTGTTTAGGAGTCATAAAAAAGCGAATCAAGTTTTTCCAGCAAAAATCTCCCCAGGTTCGGGAGTTGGTGGAGGATAACTGTGTTTCCCAAGCATGAAGCCACATTTCTTCAGTTATTTCAATGTCCAGTTCTTTTTCCCATCGTTGTTTTTACATAGTACGTTGTATCTTTGTTCAGTAATGTGATGCCATGATATAGCTCGCTTATAAGACCTTTGTTGTTTCCCAAGTTGTGAGCATCAATAAATAAATGAATAAAAGCGTAGTATCTTTTGAATATTAAAATAAGTGTGGTATCTTAGCTGATTTGTGAGTCAAGGATAGGAGTGTTTTAGGAGGAGACTCTAGGGGTAAAGGAAGCCGCCAGAAGAGGGTGAGCACCCCCTCCGTTCTTGTCTCCAAAACAGTCTTAAAAGCTGACTTTTGTTTATCCTAACAAGATTTATGGTATCCTCTAACTGCATATAGAATGACCATGTTTGGGCATAAATGTTGGCTCTGTGTCTCTATAGGTTATTAGGAATCAGCTATGTCATGAATATGTATCAAGAGGTTATTCAGCCTATAAATTGTATGGTTTTGGGGAAAAACGGGAGAAGATCCTTTTTGGCTTTGGGTCCTCTCACAGGCTGTTTGATGCTTGTCAAACGATGCTGCGCCTTTTTGTAATAAACTTAAAATTCTCTCTCCGACTATTAATGTAAAAAGCACTTACACATTTGATAGACTCAGAACAGAAAACAATAGATTTATTTTTTTGTTTTTAACTACTATTGAAAATAATTAACAACTAAAGAATATTTTTCTGTGTTTTTTCCTCTTAGAGTATCGTCCTGTGGCAGCAGTGTCTCAAGCAGCACCGTACAAACTTCACTGTCAGGTGATAAATTATGATCTCACGACAGCAGCCTCGATGTTATTACTGTAACTGTCAGGTTCAGGTAACCTATAACATTCAGAATACTAGACAAAGGGGAACAAGACACAGCGTTAGAGTAAATTACTTGCAAGGAGAACGGACAGAGATATGCTCAGTTACAATCTCCAACCGCTCTGAAGCATATTCTGCCGAACCCTCTCTTTTTATTATCTTTGGGCGTTCCCTAGTTACATGACCATTGCTGCTCTAAAGGGTAGGGGTCACACAACAGCAACGTGATAGACACTCAAATACATTTGCATAATGGTACATCAGCCTCACAACATATGATGTGAAACCAGCCTGGACTGGTTTCATCTTGTCTCTGGTTTGGGAGCGATTCCTGTTTCTCCACGATAGCTCGTGCTTTGGCTGACTTATCAGCCTGTTGGCGCCCAGCTGCGGTTTCCTGTAAAACAGCTCAAGCACAAAGCAAACTGCACACACTGTTAGTATGAAGTAGTTAATACATAATGGTAGGCAATATGGGATAACTTTATGTACAATTATTCTATCAGTAACATACCGTATATCGTCTGTGTTTTGGAGAACACTGAGAGCGCGAGTTTGTTTAATGCACTGAACTTTGTGTCCCTCTTGTGGCAGGATTGCAGTGCCGTCTTTGATCATTTGTTTCAGTATAAGAATCATCTGTTAAAGTGGAAACACAAACAGGTAGATCAAGATTTTCAAGATCTTGTTACAGAAAATCTGAAAAAGATTATGATTATTAATAATATGTCACAAAATCGTACCTTACTTAAGATATGCCTGTAATGTTTTTTCCCCTAGATGTTGACCAAATTCTTCAGAGAAGGTACCCCTTCACTTTTCTCTCAGTTCCCATATTGTTGTGTATTTTCAGGCTCATTTGAATATGATACGAACATGTTCCCCCTTTCTTTCAGATGAAAGTGCCAGTGGTTATAACCAAACAGGTATAACTTTCTCCTCCTGTGAAAACATGCTGCAACACACTGAGGCATTAATAACAATGCAAAAAACCATATTGGTCAAAAAGTCTGAAAATAAATGAATGTAAATTTATTTTGTTTTTTTAATTTACAATATTCATATCATTTTTATATCATAGAGCAGTTTCAGCTTCACGCAGTGAGCTTTGCATTTTAACATTACTCATGAATGTGGGCTAAGCATTTTTCATTTTTATTTTCTTTACAATAATTGATGGTATCACAATTTCCAATAATTTGCGTCATGTCTGCTGTTGAGAAAAATTACAGTTGATTTTATTCAGCTTTTTCTCTATAACCCTTTTTCCTTTTCAAGGTTCTTGCATGCCACATCTGGGCTTATACAGATACATCCAAGATGGCTTGAAAGCAAATCAACCACCTGTTGGTGAGCTCACCTACTTGTTATCATTGTCATTTTTGCAAGTTGTTGCCTGTGAAAAATATGTAATTTCTTTTGTTTGTTCCTTTCATTAGGTGTCTCCCTGGTTGTGACGTGTGTGAGCACTCAGGTTCAGACAAAACCTATTTATGTATGCTTTGCCTGTAAGGAGAGTTTTCCTGATAACTCTCTCAAGCAACACTTTAATTCTCAAAAACATCTCATAAACACGTTGGTGAGTTTTTGTTGAAGCCATTTTCTTAAATGCTTTGTACTGGCTGCCTTAGTGTGGAGGCAGTTCAGATGGTGTCAGATGGTTTTCATGGTGCCAGTGCAGCTATGCATGTGTGTCAGTAGTACCATGAATGTGTGTGTGGATACTTTTAATTACATAGTCAGCTAATGATTTTTGGTCCATAGCCGCCACAATGTTTGTTTGGAATCCTTCTCTTTTCTTATAAATTTAAGTAATGAAATGTGTATTTGTAATGTTGGGGAGTGAAACCCTTCCTAATGTATTAGGTGTATGTGTTCACTAGTATTTTATGTAATCCATTCATCTTAAATAGCATAAATAATCCATTACAAAAACAGAAATATTTTCTTTTTGTTATTGTTTCTTGTTAAGTAAATTATCAAATAAACTCAGGAACACCATCTGAAGATTCACAAGAGTAGGATATTTATTCTTGCAGCAAGGGAACAAGTTACACACAAGAGCTCGCAGTGCAAGTGTTCAACGGATGCAAGATTCACACAGAATTGATACACAGAATATATGAGAGTGACTTCACATTTTTGCTGAAATGAGACAGATACAATAGAGACTCGATTCATGCCTTATCATAGCTAATGTTTGGGTGTAGTGGCTAGGAGGAACAGCGAAGGTCACTGCGCTCCTCTCTGACAACTCCTGTCTTAAAAGTAGACACAATAATGGAAAAGTTCTATTCAGGATAATACAGTTTCTCTTTAAGATGGTTATGTTTATCATAAAGTATCACAATTTTTCCAACATTTCTTTTCTATTACATTGAGATTGCCTGTAAAAGTCATGCGTGTTTGTGAGAATCAAAAAAACAGTAATACACTGTGTAAATGTAAGTTTATGACAACGGCATATTCAGATTCTGCATCCATGGAATAACCTTGTATGTAATAACCAGCTTTTGCTTTGGTTCTTTTAGCTGTACCAGAATCCCTGGCGGCTTCCGTTTGCCTGGGAGGACAAGGTGGATCTGAAGTTGTTGAAGTCAATGGCATGGGAAGAGGAGAATGAAAGGGGAGCAAATCAGAGGATGCTGAAGGTAAAAGGCCAGTTCAGAGAACCTGGACACAGCGGTGTTTTCTTACTAAGGTGTTCACATCTGTGTTGAGATCCTTCAACCAGCTTTTACCAGCTTCATGACATATAAACATAAATTTAGTCTAAAAGGCGTTAACTAATGTTGCTGTTGTGGAATTTTCTGTATGAGGTTCCCAATGAATAAAGAAAAAAATAACACATAGAGTGTTGATGTCTTTTGAGTTAAATTGTATTGCACAAAAGGAAGGAAACAAGCCACAGCATATAATACCATAAGTCTGGTCTGATCGGCTGCATTCAGCCGTCTGAGGTGCAACTGTTCTCACAAAGTATTTATACACCTCAAACAGACTATATTTGCCCTTTTCAGACTCACTGTCTTTCTAGTAATTTCTGACCTCTTGTCTTTGAAAACTGAGCTCCTTTGTAAGATGAGAACAGGCTTAAAACATGAAAGGCATGGACAAACAAACATGCTGCTTGTATAAGTCTTACACAACTAAAGTTTTCTATCAATGTACATAGTAGTTAAAAGAAATCGTTGTCATTTAGAAATGATCATTACATTACCACAGTAAAGCTTGTCACAGTAGAATGACATGGTTGGTTTCCTGCAATCATTTTCCACAGACTGTCATATTTTTAGTCATTACTAATTGAGATTTTTTTTCCTTCTCAGATTCTTGATATCCCATACTGGATATTTCACAGCCTCATCCCACTGAGTTACCCAAAAGGTAGGAAGAATATTACATATATATATATATATTTTTTATTATTGTTCAGAAATAGTTAAAGAAGCACACTTGCTGTAGCTTTCCCGTCTGCACTTAAACCCTTGTTTTAGACAGAAAAATTGATTGTGAGGGCCAATAAATTCATGTGCAGACATTAGTTTCAGTTATGTGGGGAAATGTACCATATAAAACTGTGAGCACTGACCAGTGAAATGTGCTCTGTGAGAATATTTGAACTGGTTCTGGTCATGTTGGCCACAAAGCCTGCTCAAACAACATATTCATTCTTGATTTTTTCTGCAGTGATGCAGAGACTTCAACTATACCACACTCTCCTAAAGAATGAAGGTTAGTGTTAAAATTATTTCTTAGCTTTCTTAAACGGGAATTGTATGCATTGATTGCTATCATCTGATTGGTGCATGTTTGTCTGTTGTGCCTATGCAGTTCCACATTGTGCAACGTACAGCAAACTCAAAGAAAATGAGAGGTTTCCTCTGCTCGGTGAGTACTGCTGGAAAGAAAGTCTAGCCCGATATCAGAGATGCGCTAGGGATTATTTTGACTTTTCTTCACCTCCTTGTTATAGGGAAACAGTTCATGGTCATGTATGATACGTATGTCAGAGGGCAAGGGTCCACAGAAGTGGGAGTGGGATTTCTGTGTTTGCTGTGTAAGAGGACACTGTCAAATACTGAATGTTACGCTCATGAGTTCAGTCGGGAACATGTAGCAAGATTTCTGGTGAGTAATTTTACTCTTGATACTACTTATTGCATTATTTTTTCCATTGTTATCCTTATCCTCAATCAGTACTTTTAGTAATTATTTGGGGTACCCAGATAGTGATGTGCAAAGGCAGTCAAACTGATTAAGGAACTGAAATTGACAATTTGTAGATAAAAGAAGTTGCTGTAGATTTTCAAGGTATATGGGGTGTTAGGAAAATTATCAAATAAAACTCAGGAACACCGTCTGAAAATGATAAGAGTAGGATATTTATTCTTGCAGCAAGGAAACAAGTTACACACCAGAGCTCACAGTGCAAGTGTTCAACGGATGCAAGATTCACACAGAATCTTATACACAGACCTTGCATTGTTGCTGAAATGAGACAGACATAATAGAGCCTTATCATAGTTAATGTTTTGGTGTACTGGCCGGGAGAAACAGCGAAGGTCCCTGCGCTCCTCTCGGACAAC